GAATCAGATAAACATCACCCTTTAAAATAGCCACAAACAATTTAAAATATCTTGACGTAACACTAAGCAAACAAGAGAAAGACCTGTATAGTAAGAATTTTGAGTCTTTAAAGAAAGGTTTAAAGAAGATACCAGAAAATGGAAAGTTCTCCCTTGCTCTTCGATAGGTAGGATTAACATAGTAAAATGGCAATCTTACCAAAAGCAATCCACAGATTCATTGATTTTAATTATCATTCTGCCAGTCACTCTGCTCTTTTAGGATTTCATATTGTATTGCTATTTCATTTCTCAAACTTTATACATTTTCTTTTCCGTTATCATATCATTGATTGCAGTGCCTCTAATTATTAAATATCAATAGTAATTGAAGATACATTTGTGTTTCCAAATCTCTTAAATGTGAGTTCATAAAATGTAGCAGTATATATAACATTTGACTTCTTCATAATAATTTGAGGGGAAATACATTGGGAGAGATAAAGATTATGACAGTGCTATACATTTCAAATTGTTCCAATTCACTTACAGAAGAATCATATTAACAAATTTGAAACAAGGACGTAGCTCTTTATATTTTCTTGTATTAGGGACATAAAATCTACAATGCATATTTTATGAGCATTCAATATCTTACAGTTAAAAACCCACTCTTTTCTTACATAGGAATTACATTTATTCTTATTAAAAATAATATTTTTAATCTCATTTAGTTTTAATTCATCATTTGTGTTATATGTATATGTGGTGTGTGTGTGTGTGTGTGTGTGTGTGTGTGTGTGTGTGTGCGCGCACTCTTCTGTATGAATATGGGGAGACAGATGATGTTTTCAGTTATCTTACTTTATCACTCTACATCAATTTTTGAGACAGAGTCTCTCATTGAAACTAGAGTATTCAATGTTGAGTAAACTATCCCTTCAGGAAGGCCCCAGGATCTGCTTGTCCCTGTCTTTAAACTCGTGGTGTTTCAGATGTATGCCTAATTGCTCTGGTTTTACATTTGTGTTGTTGTTCTGAATTCTGGTCTCCATGCTTACACAACACAGAATTTACCCATGGAACCATGTCTAATGATATTATCCATGTATTTTTTAAGGAACAAAGAGATATAACAGACATTGAACTCATAAAACAAGCTTCAGAACACAGTTTTATTGAGTTTGAAGCCATTTTACCTCAGTCATTTAGTTGTCTTATGTAAAATAAAAGACTTAAGTACTCAACTCAAAGAATATTTAGAGTTATTATTGAGATATAATTCTCAGCAGATGGATGGCACATTGGATAAAATAAACATTTTGTTTCTACAGTGCATGCCTGTTTCTGATGTTTGTTGAAAAGTGAGAGACATTCATAGTCTACTTGTAATTTTGGGATGCATCTAATAGTTGTTACTTATTTATAATCATTGATGAAATTTCATAATAGCCATTATTGACAAATAGTATATAATCACCTTTACCATAAACCTTAACCTCTAAGTAAATACATACAGAGATTTATTTAAAAAATGAAAAAAACATCCAATACAAATGTCTTTTTTCTATGAGTCCATTAATATTTGCTAACACAGCCTTTGGAATAAACACTTTTCTTAAGTAAATGGTTATTAGTATACAGATAATCAGAAGAAGGTTATACAGCACGTTATTAGTATACAGATAATCAGAAGAAGGTTATACAGCACTGTGGCTTTCCACATACATTCATATGCATACATTAAAATATGATAACTATAGAATAATATAGTACCAGGCACAAGAAACCTCCTTTTGATTGGTTGTTCAGGGTAGTCCATATGATTCCCAAAACAATAGAGATTATCAGTGTAGCCATAGGTTGCCTCTTAGGGGTTGAGGTTTGAGGGTGGATCCCTATTGCTGAAGATACCATACACTTAGAATAATTCAAGCTGACTCCCACTTTATAGCCTCTTTCCTGTTGTATGTCTTCCTAGATTCCAGAAAATACCATGTAAGCTGAGAAGAAATGAGATCAGCTAAATAGTCCCATCCAGCTGCAGCTCTATGAACCATGACAATCACCAACACAGTAAGATATTAATAGGTGTAATGAGTAGCTCTCACATGTATGTGCCAACCAACAGCTGTCTCATTGGACTCAAGGCCCACTCAATAGGAGAGAAATCATGCATAGCACTATATTAGCCAGCTTGTCAGGGGTAGTAAGGTCATGAACTTAGGAAAGAATCTACTACCATCACTTTGTTAGATCAGCACTAATCTCATATTGCATTCTAAATCTTATCATTATTCTCACCGAGAAGTATAGCTAACACCCCTCATCAAAGAACCTTCTACTAGCAAATGAAAGCTGGATCAGAAAGCCACATCTGGACACAATGCAGACATCATGGCAAGAACAGTCCCAACAGATAGACCTACATCAGAGCTCCCACATCTGTGGCATAGGGAACACCTATGGACAGGTGACAGAAAGATTACAAGACTCAAAATATCAGGGAGTCTTCTGTGAAGTAGTCTTTCCTAAAAATGGCTGTATAAACTGTACTAGAACAATGGCAACATCAACAGACATGCTCAGATTAGTGGATGGGGGAAATAGTTCGCAGGGTCTTACCCCAGATGAAAAACTACAGGCAACCAATGATTACCAGGAGAGGCATAATTTTCCTCTTATTGAGCCCCCTTATTAGTTTCCAACACAGAGTGGTCAGCCTTGAAACCATATACATGCAACAAAAACATTCAGCACGTGGTGCATATTTACACACACACAGACATATGTGTAACAAATAGAATAAAATAAAAAAGAGACCGTCAATGTTTTAAGAGAAACTTAACCTTGAGGATAAAATTTCTACAGACATATTTCAATTTATAAGTAATGTTAGTTATCTTGCAAAAGTAAAATGGACAGGAATAGAAACAATATTCCTTTATTCAAAGAAATTGACATGAAAATTCCACTTAGCCAATCTAAACTTTGCAATGGACTAAGCACTGAAATTCAAGAGTATAACACAGACTTGAAATTTAGTTAGAAAAAACTGATTATACTCCCAATATCTACCTTCATGTGTGAAATCTTCTTTGGTAGGTTATATCTGAAAAGCTGCTAAACTGACAAATGGCTTTGCCCCTGTGTACATTTTATCAGCTCATGGGTAGATCATTAAAGATGATTCTTTACTGACTCCCAGTTGTTCAGTTTTATCTTCTAACATTCCAACCCAGACACACCTTTCCCAACATCAAGAGTGTTATTTGTCTAATTTTGGGGCCATTATATCTGGGCTGTTTTAAAAATATTTTCTTTGAAATCATTATTATGCTTTGTGTATGTACGGCTGGGCTGTGGTATGCATGTGGAAATCAGAAGTAGCACATCCCAGTTGCTTCTCTTCTTCTGCACCATATTCTGCCTCCAGGGATGAATTCAGGTGGCCTATCTTGCACTACAGCTGCTTTATGTATTGATCCAACCCACTGGCCCTGAGCAGTCTTTTCTGTATAAAATTCTGATGATAGTGATGATTCAGGAAATTATTTTATTCCAATTCACAGATTGTGAACCTGTCAATTTGGGGGCAGGGTTAGGTCCTATAGTTTCAGATTCTTGGGAAACTGAAGCAACAGAATTACTTGGGCCCAAGAACTCAAGACCACTCTGATTGGCATATAACATCATGCTTTAGAAAATGAATATGTCATATTTTAAGTGTCTAAATTTATGGATGGAATTATCAGCTATAGGCATATATGCATACAGAGATACACATAGTGCTAAAATCAAACTAATATAAAAAGAAAAACAAGTTGGTAATTCACATTAAAAAAACAAACAAAGTTTTACCACATGTGAACATAAGCTCTAAGACTTGCAAATTCAAGCATGGAATTTATCTGTGTATGTGTTTGTGTGCACCAGAAGCCATATGCAGAAATGTTCATATAAACTTTATTTAAATCGGCTAAAATTGTGAGGCTTCCAAATGTTAGTGAACATGAGAATGGATAGGTACCAGTTGTATATTTACAAAAGGCTCTTCACAAAACATGTATAGCTCCCACAGATATAATGAGGGAAGAAGTTAGATGATTGGATCCCGAAAAGTTCTGCTCCTGTGATCCTCAAGAGACAGCTAAGGTGAAGGCAAGCGTAGTGGTGCTTTCTACTAACTAGATTGCTCTGACAGTAAAGCATACCTCTAAGTGATGTGAACTTTATGCATGTTATATCTCAAGAAAATCTGAGTTAAACATCACCTGCAGGAAAGAGTTTCTAGATATGGGATGGGGTTGGTGGTCAGAGGATGAGAAAAGAGAGTTCTTCCATTGACTTCGTCCTTTGTCCCTGGCTGGCTTGCTAAATTCAGTGTTTTATGACTGGGAACTTGCCAGCTCAGAGCTTCAATCCTCAGAGGCTCACAAACTTCCTGCGTGGGCATCTCCTGCTCAGAGGCGGTTGAGGATGGATGTATATGGGGACACAGAATGAACAAAAAGGACTCAGCCCCCCTTCAGTTGCACACAGCAGTACAGCAGGAACGGCAGAGAGAAGAGCAAAGCTCTGGGGGTGAACACAAAAGGCCCCTCGCTAGAGCCAGCGTTTCAGCTGCCGCTGGCGGCTGGACAGCTCCCGGATGACTTCCGTTCCTGGGGCGGATCAGTGGGGCAGGTAGGGTTCTTTGTCCCGCAGGGACTGACCTTGGTTCTCCCGCTTGCTACTAGCGGGAAATAAGCCTTAAAAACGGAGTAAAGCCTCAACTGCTTGCTTTTTGTTTGAGTTTAAATCGCAAACCTGCAGTAGTGAAGGGAACCTCTCCTAGGGAAAAGCTCCGGAGCGTATCGCTCAGACTTCTCTTCGGGACCAGCGCTGTGGCTCAGTCCCAGAAGCCAGAAACTTGCCAGGATTAGAGGCAAATCAATTAAACCCACGTCGTGCTCGTCATTGCACTTTTCAAGACATTCGAGTGCTTGAAAACTCCTGCGGGTTCTTTGGGAAAAAAGATCATGCCCCCCAGGTTTCTTTCCAACCTGTCCTTGCCCATGGAGGCGAATGAGAGTGAGTTGGTTCCTGAGGTGTGGGAAAAAGATTTCCTGCCCCACTCGGATGGGACCACCGCGGAGTTGGTGATCCGCTGTGTGATCCCATCCCTCTACCTAGTCATCATTACTGTGGGCTTGTTGGGTAACATCATTCTGGTGAAGATATTCCTCACTAACAGCGCTATGAGGAGCGTCCCCAACATCTTCATCTCTAATCTGGCGGCTGGAGACCTGCTGCTGCTGCTGACCTGCGTTCCAGTGGACGCCTCCCGCTACTTTTTTGATGAGTGGGTGTTCGGCAAGCTGGGCTGCAAACTCATCCCTGCCATCCAGCTCACCTCTGTGGGGGTTTCTGTGTTCACGCTCACCGCCCTCAGCGCGGACAGGTAAGAGTACAGCTAGCATGGGGAGAAACTGGAAAAGTGATGGACAGGGTCAGGGGACTAGGATTATTGGGAATTGGAATGCACCTGCCCAGGAAAAAGGATGTTAGGATAGGTTGGGGATGGAGATGGGTAAGTGTATGTATATAAATAATGGAAGCCTAGTTTTAAAAAAATGTGCAAACTATTTAAATAATAGTAAAAATTTAAACTTGCACACTCTAGTGCCTGCATTTCCCCACACACTTTGGAAACCTTACTATGCACTTCACAGAAGATCTACAGTATAAACAAGTTAAAGTTCAAGTGTCTTCTGGGATTTTTTTCCCCCTCTGTTTGTCTAAACTTAAGCAGGATCCTTTCTGATTCAGTAGAGTGGCATTCTGGTACATTAGAACACTAAATTTAACTTGAGGAAACCGCCTAATTTACCCTGTGCACCACTTTCATTTTGAAGTAATACTACTTGTCTAATGAAAACAATAAGAATTGTAAGCTTCAAAAATAGGCTCTCACATCTTGTTTGAAAATCTTAAGTTCTTCTAATTCTTGTTGAAATCAAGAGATTTCTCCCCAAATGATGTTAAATTTTAATGTCTTAAAACAATGCTATGGGCACAGTCTTCATTATCAATCTCCTTTCACACTCTAGCAGTGTGAAGTATTCATTGTATTACTTGGTAGATCAATTGGTTCAACATTGTCATTTTCCATGTGTGGCTTCCAAAGCTCAGAGAATATAAGTCCTCCTGTGATTGCTGGGAGGAAAATCCAGGCTTCCTGAAAGGAGGCTAGGACTGTTAGCCTGGGCTGCCTGCACCATGTTTTCAGGTCTTTTATGCAGGAGGGAATTCTGGGAGATTGGCTGGGGGCAAAGTTTATAATTTGGCATCATTATTGGAGCTGTGGTCTCATTCTCTTGGGAATGAAAGACTGAAGTTATTTTGCTAAACAATTCAACTTGGTTATAAAAATAAAATGGCATTCACTCTCCTTATTTAATTATCAGTGAGTCTGGATCTGAGTTTCTGGGGGGCTGGCTATACTGTCCTTATACTAATTTGGAATTGAAGAGTCAATATTTATTGGAAATAGTGGGAAGTCTTTATAATGCTGTTGTTAGTTGAGTAGTAGTTAGTTTATGTAGCATACTATTTTAAGTCACTCCTGGAAAAGTGACAAAAATTTTAAATATCTTATGAACCTTATTTTGTCTCCTTGGCACCAGTTTTATTATCTTTTTTAAAGTTTTGTTTGAACTTCAGAGCTAAAATATGCCATTTGAACTTGGCTGCTCTTCTTCAGAAGCCCATTTTAATCAGACTGTTAAAGAAATAAACTTAATTAGAACAAAACACAATGATTAGCTATCACAATAGGTGAACTTGACACTAAGCATTCATTTTTAACTCATAGTATTGGTAGCAAAACTCAGAGCTTGAGTTTATTTCACACAAGTTTTTCAATCTATTGTCATGGAAACAAGTAAGTTTTCCTTGACCAGAGGGAGAAGACTGAAGAGCCTCCTGCATTTAGGACCTTTTGGTACATTGCCTCTTTTGGGGTTCCCTGACTGTTTTCAATTTGCTCCAATTAATGAAGCTTAAATAAAAATGTCAATAACACATTACAAGGATAAAAGGGAGGAAAACAAGTGTAGGGAAAATGAAAGTTGAAAAATGTAGGATGACCCGTACTTTCACAAAAGGTAGTTAATTTTTCTGAGAGCTTTTGAGTTGTCATCACAAAAGAAAAGTTGCCATTTATACTAAGAACCCAGCTGTGATGTTTACAGAGCTATAGTCACAGAATTTGCTATCTCTGCAATTTATTGCATTTATATTAAATAAAGTGTGTTACATTATATTTGACTGCAGTAAATTATGTCTTTTACTCAGTTGATTTCAATCACTGCTAGATTGCTTCCATTTTCCTTCTCATTAAAAGTAGCATCACTGACTTAAAATGCACTGTTTTATTCTTGAATATTAACACTGTTTCCACAATTCAGTTATAGCTATGTGATTATTTGTTTCCTTGTGACACACATGGTAAGATGTGAATGTGCCAGGCTGGATTTTATGGCAGCTGGGTTCTCATTGCAATCCTTATAAACACATACTTTTTCTGCAGAAGGATGACAAAATATCACAAAACTTGTGCTCCTAAAGTAGTGTTTACCTAATATGAGAATCAGAGAAGGCATCTGATTCTCTAAGTACCAGATTTCTGTTGATTCCAGAAATTCACTGTGAATGTGCCCCACTGCTCTGGAATGATGCCCACTGCTAGTTGCTTCTAAGGATGATCTATGTGCAGATTTGAAAAATATTAGTAAAGGTAGAATCTCTCAATTCACATCCTAGAGACTCTGTCACTCAATCTTTGTAAAACCCAATTTGTCCTCCTTGCCCGTCCCCCAATTCTTTAGGTGATTCTGAAGCTTGATACACATTGAACATTACAGACAGTCTCCATTGTACACCACCATTCCTGTCTCAACCCATTATTTAGCAGCTCCACTCACCACAATTGATTTTAATTAACGAGATCCTTAATACTCAGGCCCATCACCATTTACTGAGAACACACTGGTTGCTCTGAATAGTATACTGTGTACTAGAGGAGCAACAATGAGCAAGAGCCTTGCTTCTGTTAATCGATGGTTCACACCCAGACTCCTTGTTGGCATCCTTCCTGCATAATAAAGTTCAATAAGAAAAAGACTGTTGTTTAACTAGACAAGTTTAAAGAAACAGAGATTTTTGACATGTCCTGATGATTTTTGCAAGAAGTAAAAAGGATCTAATTTCCTATTTATTTTATATTATCATTAAATTCAGTTTTATATTTACATTAAATTCATACTCCAATCAGATACTATAAATGAGATTCAAGTTGATGAAATCTATTCATTGATGCTTAATGCATGGATGATGATGATTATACTTCCCTATGTCTGTCTTTTGGTTGGTTATTCTTTAATTCAATTAGAAAAATCTCTCTGAGACTGTTTTTAAGGGAAAATGTAACATTTTACACATATCTATTATGCTACTGAGTTTAATTAAATAAGTTTTATGATGAGGGACATCTTTCTCATGTTTTATGTAAATATTTGAAGAAAGCATGATAAAACATGCCCACTTTAATATGCATTAGATGACTTTACTTATTGCTTTATATTCTTCCAAAGATATACTTACAGCATTAATATTCTTTCAGAGCTGGGTCTATGGCTCAGTAGTAGAGTACTTGTCTTTAATGTGTGATTCCCTGGGCTTATTACCTAGTACTTTCTCCTCCCCCACAAAACAAAAAACAAATGCTCATTTACGTTTGTAAGCTATGTTCCAGTACTGACAACTTTTATAATCTTTTGTTTCTTACACTATAAACAAAGTGTAATTCTTTGTTTATAGAATTTGCACTACTGTCTTTTCATTTAGAGACTCCCTGAGGTATAGCCCTCTTGTCTTGCAGGTGGTGACAAAAATCATCACTGTTGAAAAGGTCTTAATCATCTTTGCCCTACTTTCCAGCTAGGTTCACCTTCTTAAATGAATTTTGGCCTATTGTTAGTAGTCTTATCACAATGAACAGTTTACACATTTTATAACAATTCACATTTCTCTATCATCTTTTAAGGGGCACAGTGCCTATTATAACCTGAAGGTTTGTGTCCTCCTAAAATTCATAAATTGAAATATTTTCCCACTAAACAATGGTGACATGTAGTGGAAACTTTGGGAGATGATTAAGTTTTTAGAGTAGGGTCATTGTGAGAACAGCGCCAGAAGAACCCAGTGGAAGACTGTACTAACACATCTATAAGCCAAGGCACTGGCTGGAGCACTCTATGGGTAGAAACAAACTTCCACACTGCCTTGGAGAGTAGAGGGTATCAGCTGGTGGGGAAAGCAAGTGGGTTTTACACAATCATCATGAGGGGGTGGGACTTTGAGCTGATCAGGTTGTTTCAGACCAATCGGGAACTAGATGCCCTTGTTCAGGTCCTTGTGGTAGTCTAGGAGGGAGGTAGTGGATTTCCTGGTAACAGAAATCAGCCTTAAGAGATTCCCAAGAGATTCTGAGGTTAGGCTTCTATTTATCCAGTAAAATCCTTCTGTTTATACAGTCAGAGTCCTTCTGTTTAGAACACTGTAACTAGCACTGCCATTTGGCCAGTGTGTGTGTGGGAGGCTGCTTTGGACCTAACACATGCTATCCAGAAAGGGCACTCTCATCAGGCTCTGAATCTGTCAAAATCTTTATCCTTGGATTCGCACTCTTCAGGACTGTAAAATAACTTTCTGGGGTTCATAAATCACCCAGTCTAGGGTGCTTTAATTTACTATTCCAATTACCTAAGACTATGTCTCTGCATGAGTATGTACCAGATGGTGTGGAGAGGGGTATCTTCCTTTTATTCTATTTTTTTTAATATCAGGGGTATTCAGAATATCCCCTGTGGTTCTTGGTTACCTAAATCATTGAGGAGCTTTATTAGCTGTTTTATCCATTTTCCTCCAATAAAAAAATACAAATCTATCTATCTATCTATCTATCTATCTATCTATCTATCTATCTATCTATTTTTGGTAAGTTGCCTGCATCAGATATCTGATAACCATTATAGGTCAATAAATAAATAAATTTTGGGAGGGAGATATTTTTTATTCTTGCTTCAGAGTGAAAATAAAAAGACCTTAAGTGACCTTTCTAAATGATATCATAGGCAATGATGAAGTGGTCTGACTGAAATCACTTTTTATTATATTTTGTCATTTATCTCTTAGATACAACTTCAAACCATTTAAAGACAAATACAGCTTGCTTATATACAATTTGGTTTGTCTGAAGTATCACTACTTCATGAGAAGTTAAGGATTAAGACACTGTGTCTCAAAATGTGAGTCCTTTACCACTTGTCATGACTACATATAGCCACTAGTGTCCTTGATGTGAGAGGGTAGGCTGCTGTGTGGTCTAACAAAATAAAATAGGTCTATAAAAACAAAATACTCTTCCATTTTCAGTTCTTTAGATTGCATTGTGGAAAAAATTCCACACTGGACTCCTATCTAGGGTTTATTGATTAGGAAAATGTTAGGGAAAAATGCTGAAAGTCCCAAACTCTGAAGCTTTGAGAATAGAATCAAGGTAGGATTTAACTGCATTGCTTTGCAGACCTTTGATAACTCAGTTACTTTCCCTTAGATAGCAAGCATAATTGAGACATAGGAAATGAAAGCATTCAAATAAGAAAATCTAATAGCTGATCAAGTTCAATGAAAAATGATACATGTACTACTGTACATTGATTGGAGATAAAATCATTGTGAAAGAGCCAATCACCATTTCTTAGGAGATTCCACTTTAAATTTTTTTTCTTTTTCACTATGCTCTGTGTCAATAAGCCCTGGAATGAATTGGAGACACTGAGATGCCAGAGAATTTGTGTTTTCCATATGTTAGGAAACAGCCAGAGAAAGAAGTGTTGGCACCTATTCTGCCAAGGATATTTAGTTCACTCTTCCCTCCCTCTTCCTCCTCTCCTTCCCTTCCTTGCCTTTTTTCTTTCATTTATCCTCATTCCACTCTTCCCTCCTTTCTTTCTAGAGAGTAACTTGAGCCTCTTGTCCTAGGTACAGAGCTATCGTGAATCCCATGGACATGCAGACTTCTGGCGTGGTGCTGTGGACCAGTGTGAAGGCTGTGGGCATCTGGGTAGTCTCTGTGTTGTTGGCAGTCCCTGAAGCTGTGTTTTCGGAAGTAGCACAAATTGGTAGCTTGGATAACAGCAGTTTCACAGCATGTATACCCTACCCTCAAACAGATGAGTTGCACCCCAAGATTCACTCAGTGCTTATTTTTCTTGTTTATTTCCTCATACCACTTGTTATTATCAGCATTTATTATTACCACATCGCAAAGACTTTAATTAAAAGTGCACACAATCTTCCAGGAGAATCCAATGAACATACCAAAAGGCAGGTAAGCTGAGTCTCTCTCTCTCTCTCTCTCTCTCTCTCTCTCTCTCTCTCTCTCTCTCTGTGTGTGTGTGTGTGTGTGTGTGTGTGTGTGTGCATGTGTGTGTGTTATTTTATGGGTTGTTAATCATCCCACAAAATACAAAGAGCACCTTTGGGCTTTCTCTTTCCTTAACAGATAGGATCTTGGGGAATTTCTTATATGTGGTTGGGTCACATATAAATGGGATCCACTTGGATACCATTTATCAGGCATCAGAGCCTTTGAAAAGAACTGGAATGTCATCAGTATAAACTAAAACTTTGTGCTTGGTGGCAGTTTGTATACAGACTGCTTAGCAGTGTGAGGATCCCCTGAAGCCATGCACACACACATACACATGAATGGATAATAAATAAAAATGATGTTTGTTTTTTAAAAAATACATGAAAATATTTGTATGAAGATGAAGATCTGTCTGAAAAGTTCAGATTTTAAGTGTAAATTGACTATTATCTTTTCCTGGTATCCCTGAAAGGGTGATGTGAAATGTGAAGAAAGATGCCTCTGTAACAAGGATAGGGCAGTGCCTAGGGCTGGGCCTAGGATTTGAGTGGGTAGCAGAATGAGAGGCTCTAGGAACTGCAGAGAACCAGAGAGAATGAATGTGGTACCAAAGGTGGTTGGGACCGTTGGTCTATTACAACTATGCAATCTTCCCCAACATTAGTTGAAAGTTGGTCACATGTAGATTAGCTACAACCCTTTTTTTTCGGTTAAAGATCATGAAATAATAATTTCAGTTAAAGTTATTTGTGTGAAAGTGAAAGAATGTTACTGTGTAGAAATTCCTAGTTGTGTGTTTCTATATTCCTAGAGATAAAACCACAAATGGGCCAGAACTTCCATAATTACAAACGTTACAGGGAGGCGATGGATGCTTTTTGGCAATTTGAATGCAAATAAACTAAATCTGAGATTACTAGTGTTACTTGTGGGTGTAGATGGAGAGAGATCTTTGAGCCACCCACCAATCAGCAGCAGGAGCTGTCAGAAGTTTCCATGGTGCAGGGTAGCCTTCATTAATTAATGAATATTGACAAGAAGAGTAGACATTCATTTTAAAGATTCAGATAGCTAACCAATGTTTCAGATAAATCAATCATTTCTTATCTAAGTATCTGGAATCATGGAAGCAAAACATTTATACATCAGGTCCTTTAATTTACATAACTAGACATTTTACTGTGGGTTCTAAAATCCAAATTTTATCATAATTGTTTGTTTGAGTTTTGGGTTTTGATTTCCTTTAAGTTGAATTCTCCGAATATCCACAACTTTTTTTTTTTTTTTAAATGCTGTCGGTTCTGCCTTATTTTTGTAAATTTTCCCTTGGAGATTTTATAAGCTCTGATTGGGTAACTGAGTCTTGACATTTTCCAAGATATCATCTCAAAGCCCAATTTGCTTGAACTTGAGTCCCCAGTTTTGGACTGCCATGAATGTCCTACATCCATGCTGTGTCATCTAGAGAGGACACATTGAGTACTATAAATTTTTTATTGATAATTACTACTACAGTTGAATTGTCTAACTTAGGGCACCAAGATGCATCATTAGTACAACTGCATTCTATTTCTTGGTGTCAGCTATGTTTCTTTCCCTTTGACCAATCAATGGGTATCTTTGCTGTTGTTTATAGATGGAGACCCGGAAACGATTGGCTAAGATTGTGCTCGTCTTCGTGGCCTGCTTTGTCTTCTGCTGGTTTCCCAACCACGTCCTCTACTTGTACAGGTCTTTCAACTACAAGGAGATCGACCCTTCTCTGGGTCACATGATTGTCACCTTAGTGGCCCGGGTTCTGAGCTTCAGCAATTCCTGTGTCAATCCCTTTGCTCTTTACCTGCTCAGCGAAAGCTTCAGGAAGCACTTCAACAGTCAGCTCTGTTGCAGGAGGAAGTCCTACCCCGAGAGGTCAACCAGCTACCTTGTCAGTTCTTCAGCAGTGAGAATGACTTCTCTGAAGAGCAACACAAAGAACGTGGTGACCAGTTCTGTCCTGCTAAACGGACACAGCATGAAGCAGGAAATAGCTCTGTGATTGGAGGCTATTAAAGTCACTCTTGGAAAATCCCTTACAACTTTTGCTATTATTACTGAGCAAAGTAAAACTCAGTAATTTCCACATTCATGCTGTCCTCTAGCTAATTCATCAGGGGACTTCATGATTGACTGAAGTACAAGACAAATATTTTTCTCTGAATAGAGTTTTACATTAGATCATGCACATCTATACTAAACATATATAACTCATGTACATTTCCTGCTAACATTGATTTACAAATTCCCCCAGGATTTAAGGCATTGCCACAAGCAACTGTGCCATACTTACTTTAAATTCCTTTTATCCTAAATCGTAGAGAATATTTCCATAATCAGTTAAATTGGGTGAGAGATAATATTAAACACCTATTATTTGAAATATAAATTACATCATTCTGATGAGCAGTAGGCTTTGTTTATAACTAGTATATATATGTGTATGTATATTTACTAATTTGAAAAAAACACAAGTGGAGATTAATCATAATTCATTAATATTTATGGTTCTTTATATAATTGTAATTTATAGAAATGTTTGTACTATCTAGATATAGTATTGGGAAGTATGATACCATTTTTTAGGAATTGTAAATTGATATATGAATGTGTTTATGTAAAAGAGGTATCATATGCTCCAAATTCCAATAATATGACTCAGATGTGTGCATGTCCATTTTTACAATTTGGCTGCTTCTGTGTAGGTAATAAGATTTGTATAATTCTGGTGAGTTCTCATTTGCTCTTGCATCTGCCAACTGACAAGTGTATGAGATCTCAGGCACTTTTCTCTGCATGATATCAGTTTTCTCTGAATAAACATCTTGATATTTTTCAGCAAAATATAAACATTGTCTTTATTAAAACCCAAAGGCTATCCCTTTCTTCAGCCCATATGTCTAATTCTTGAGTTTCTTCATGCCAAGTTGAATTCTAAATACATTTAGGTGACTTTGCTGGTACATTAAGCTTCTCTTTAAATATTCCTAACCCACACTACTGAAGGTATTAAGCAATCATTTGGACACAGCAATTCAAAAATAAATGAAGGCAAATTACCTATAGCATATGATAATAGCAATAATAATGAACACTAACCAAGTGTTGTTATTTTCTAGTTTATTAACAGAGCTTTATATGTAATTTAAATTTTTCTTCTGTATAAACTTTTAAATGAATAAAAGAAGGATCCAATTTTCTAGGTTATGAATATGCTCAAATTGTGGGGAATCTTTTTTTCAAAAAAATAAAAAACAAGACAATTTCCCAAATCCAATGAGAGCCTCAATACATTTCCAGAAACCTGGTCTTTAGCCTTCATTAACTTCATGGAAAGATCACATATGAAGTAGGTCTGGTTTTCTTTATTTTATAGGTTGGGAAATTGAGGCTCTGTTATACTCAGCGACTTAGGGAAGATTATTCTATCATGTGAACAACCTGGAATATAAAACCCAATATGACATCATAAAGTGTATATGAACTACTACTTCATTGCCATTCAGTTGTGGATTTCTACAACTGATCTCAGCCTTCAGGCAGGCTGCAGAGGTATTCACCATGAAATCACACAGTGTGTACAAAGTTTACATTAATTTTGAGCATCTTAAAAATAATTTGAGCCCCATTCACTGCAATTTGTAGAATCATGGCCCCAGAATTAAGAATCCTTGGTTAATGCAGACTATTTCTCATAAAGGATGCTAAGAATACAATAGATACATAGGAAAGATTGTAAGTCTCATCTACATATGTCTTACATTATTCTTTTAGTTTCACATACAAAAACAGATGTATATATTTTGTAATGTATTTATATTATCTTAAAACTAAAAGGACATGAACATATATAAACTATGGATTCCTAATAATTTAAAGTTCAAGAGAATACAATTTTGATATAACAATCAGATATTTTGTAAGGATGAAAAACCTTTTTTATGAAATGATTAAAAAATTCCCTTGACATTTTATTAAAACATTTTCCTGTAAAGATACCAGTATCATAATGATGACAAAGCAAATTTCTATATTCTTTTTTTAGAAAGTATACTAACAATGGGCACAATTCTGAACATATTTATCAAAGACTGACTGACAGAATTTAAGTTTTAAACAAATTTATTTTTATTTTATATATATTAGGTTTTGCCTGCCTGCATGCATGCATGTGCACTGTATGTGTGCTTGGTGCCTGTAGCAGTCAGAAGAATGCACTGAATTCCCTGGAACTGTAGTTACAGATGTTTGTGAGCCACATGTGGATTCTGGGAACCAAGACTGAGTCCGCTGCAAGAGAAACAAGAGATTTAACAACTGAACCATTTTTTCCAGCCTTCAAAAATTCTTTTTTTGGGGGGTGGGGCTTAGACATGGACAGTTACTACACTAGTATATATTTTATAATGTATAATTAAACCATATTCATTGTGATGAAAGTGATATTAGTTGTTATATTTATATCAAATGGTTGCTAAATAAAACAATACTTTTTGGTTGCATGCACACGGCCACACTTGAACACATGACACTGTACCCATAATCAAAGTTAGAGTTGAAACTTTTTCACTTGTTAGATTTTGTGTGTTTAGTGTATATGTACTTGAGGATGGTCCCTGCTAGTTAGACATCATTTTTCTACTGTATGATTATGTAAAGTTGTGCAGTATGTAGAAAACATTCCTTCAGATTTGATCTGTTTCTGAATTGGTGGTATCACCCTCTGTGATGATGCTGTGCAATGGCAGCAAACTACAGGTCCTTACATATCATTTGATCAGAGGGGTAAAAGACATTAATATACAGTGTATTATATTGAATAAATTATATGTGATAATAAACTTTTTATTAGGTCTATATTATTTTTTGCCAAATTTTAGGCTAATGTAAGTATTCTTAAGATGTTTAATATATCCAAGGCTAAACTATGATGTTTGGGAGGGGAGATGTATTAAATGCATTTTTGCAGGGACAGGGTCTGGCTACATAGTGTTAGTTGGCTTAAAGCACTCTATTTAGTCCAGTTTGGCCTTGACCTCACAGAGATTTGCCTGGCTCTGCCTCCTGAGTGCTGGTGTTAAATAGATAAGCAACCATGACTGACCTTAAGTGCTCTGTTGATTTAATATTTTTAATACACAATGGATTTATCATAGATTTATTGGATTACCCCTTTGTAGACAAAGGGACATCTGGACTTGTTCCTGGGTATTTGAGTATTTCGTAGCTCTTCCTATGGTTGAATGTGCTTCCAACATTCATGTGTTGGAAATTTAATCCCAGTTCAATAGAGTTAAGAGGCGTAATCTTTTAAGAGCTGAGTATGGAATGAGGGTTCTGTCTTATAGAATGCATTAATGTCTTCATCATGAGAATGAGCTCATCACACAGGAATGGCATCTTTATAAAGATGTCATCTTCCTTCCCTCTCCCCTGCCCATATGCTCTGATTTGTGACATTTCCTGCTGTTCATGATGCGGCAAGGATGTCTCCAGGTGTTGTCATGGATCTTAACTTGTCTGTTCTGGAACTGTGAGCCACTTAACTTTCTATTATTTATAAGTTAAACAACCTATCCAGTAAAGACAGTTTTTATCACCAAATGGTAATAAAGTAAATTGGTCCCAAATTTACCTATGAAGTGCACAGAACATGAGTAAACTAAGTGAAGAGTGCAAAGCAGTGAGAAGTCGAGTAAATATTTTTTAATTTTAATGGGCATATGTGAAATGTCTTATTATTAAAGTATCATTCTTAAGACAGGAGATGTGAAGGAAATAAAAACATTAACCTTTCATATGCTTGAGACTATTATCAATAGTGACTATTATCACTATTATCTCCTGTACATAAGATGGATGGATGTACATAAGTGACATCATGAAAGATGAAATATGTGATAAGGTGGTCAGGCAATGCCTGGCATAACAGTAAATATTCATTGAAGGTGCTGTCTAGCATATTTTAAAATTGACTCCTATCATCTAGTGGAATGATAATAAAATTTTTTAAATGTTTTCTGTGACAGATACTACTGTGTCACTTATAAGGATCACTATGTCAGCCTCCGTGAGGCAGCATGATTCTAATTTCCATACAATGCATAAGAGGTTTGGATTTTATTGGAAGGCAGAACATACAAGGGAGTGCTTATCATGAAGCTATTAAATGGCTTCCAAATTCTTACATAATCTTTCATTATTTAAGGATATTTTAATCAATGTAGGGCTGAACATACTATGATAAACCCATTAGATGAAGCCATCTAATAACATCATAGCTGTCCTTGTTGGTATAACTACTTAACCCACAATATCCCACAATAATGACATCACCAGATGACATGTCTCTAGGACTATATTGTTCCTAAGCAATGCATGAGTTCATCTATGGTTAAAACTACTGGGGACCTTGAGTTAATTTTTTGAAAGAGAGGATTGAGTATGTTAGTTTCCTTCCAGAAATATGGAGGTTGTCTTGTAAGGACAAAGAGAATGACACTTTGAGTTTAGCTTGATCTGTAAGGGTATCTTGTTCTGCATTCTCAGAAAAAGGAAAACAGCTTAAATTTTAAGTCACCTTCCTGAATACATGTACAAACTGATATCTTGTATGTAAAAATGTGGGACTGTAATTTTACCCCCAAATTCCTTTATCAATTTTGTGTGTGCTACATAAAAAGCTGGGAGGGGAATAAAACTTGGTGAATCTTTAAAAATACAGTACGTATCTCATTTGCCTATTTGCTCGTTAGAGCATATGCTAAATATTGATTAAATCCCATTAAATTCTGGAATAATTAATAGAGTTTGAACAAGTGTAATCTCCAAGTACTCATATTTTATTTTTAGCTTCATTGCTCAGTCAGGAAATAGTTCTATGTTTCTAAGAAAGAAACTATCTCAATCACAAGACAGCTCTTAAAATAGAATATGCATAAGGATTTCAACTTCAAATAATTTAACATTGCAGCATGTTTTCCTTAGCCTTGCTCAAAACAG